GATTGACCTGTCTGTTGTTGAAGTAAAGGAGGAGGAGCTGGTAACAAAATTTCTGTCAAAAGATTGTTGTAATAATAAATGTCATACACTGATACCACGGGAAATGATCGAGAGTACGCGGAACAATTGTTTAGAGATGTCGAAAAATGAACTTGATTTAGTGATACTAAGTCACATCGAAGCTGGAATTATAAGTAACGAAAAGCTAGAAAGTGTATACGCAAAGCTTGCTGTGCGGAAGAAATATAGACTGAGACGGGACACAGAAGTTATGAGGCATAAAATTACATTTACCTTCTACAGAGTACCTGTTTGTCGTTCGTTTCTCCTTTTTGTACATGCGTGTGGGAAGAAGCGTTACGAACACTTAGTACGTCATTTTACCGCACAGGGTGTAACAGTGCACCAACACGGACTGTCAAATAAACCGAGTACGCATTCAAAGTCATTTAAACCGGCTGACATCGAAAAGCTGTTAAATTCATCGAGTCTATAGCCGATTTAATGGCTCTTCCACTGCCCGGACGACTCCCAAAATTTAAGGATTTTCGGATAATGAAACTGCCATCCAGCGAGACGAAGTCCTCAATTTAACGAAAATATATTTCTTCACTCAGTGATGACGAATTGATGATGAGATATGGTCCAAAGACATACCCTACATTACAGTTATGAAACCAGCGGATGATCTCTGCGATGTCTGCCGTGGTAAGTAGCTCATTATTTGCTCATTTTATAGTTGTATCAAACGTTGAGAATAAATTCAGTATTTTTTCTTTTAATAGGAAACGCAATATCGATTGCGCAAAGGTATTACTGACATTGAACGCGAACAGAAGCTTAATCAATTTCTTGATCACCTCCACCGGAGCCGAAATCAACGAGAATATTATCAAAGTTGGTGCAGAAATATTGACCCTACAGCAGTCGATCTGTCATTTGGTTTTGCCCAAACCGTTCACTACCCGGTCAGTCCACAACAACCTGGTACAGCATACTTCAAAGCAACCAAGAGGTGCGGAGTCTTCGGAATTACACACGAAAAACAAAAAGTTCAGGTTAGAATTTCAAACTGAATCATACGAACTCAAATTGCTCGCCATTACAGGATCTTACTTATAATTTTTTTTTACAGTACAATTACATGCCAGACGAAAAATATGACGTTGGTAAAGGACCGAACTGTGTTGTGAGCATCCTGCATTATCACCTGGAAACCTACTATAAAGACATTGAAACACTTGTTCTTTTCTGTGACAATTGTGTTGGGCAGAATAAGAATAACACTGTGCTATCATATCTGCAATGGCGTTTGGCTCGGGGTCTTAACAAAACTATTTTATTCAATTTTCTACTTACAGGGCACACTAAGTTCGCGCCTGATCGTTACTTCGGTATTTTCAAAAGTAAGTATGCTGTCAGTCGCAGTATGCAGATTTACTACAGTGTGTCGAGGCATCATCACCTGGGGGTTATAATAAAGATGTATCGCCTGAAAAAGTCGTCTGGTATGAATGGGAAGCTATTTTAAACCACTGTACAAGTCACTTGTTGGAATAACGCAATTCCATCAATTCGCAGACAGTGAAGAAGTGCAGTCCTCTAAGCTTCTATTAAAACCTATCGAACCTGAAATGCCGAAAGATATACAACCAGCCGGTTTATCTTTGGAACGTCAGTGGTACATCTATCACAATCTTCGCAGCTTAATTTCGAATATATGTAAAGTAGATATTGTGGCTCCATTGCCGAAAGATTTGCCATCGAAGAAACGCAAGGCAAAAGCTAGTGAAGATGTTCTCAAACCAGACGAGGAAGCAGGCCCATCTTCCTCAGGATCAACACGTAAAAAGAACTCAAGGAAAACGACAACAAAGAAAAATACATAAACTACTCAGCATTATTATTTTTGGCCCATAATACGTTTTTCTAGGGTATAATCATATCTTTATAGCTTATAATTCAATGTATTTTGTTCATTACAAAAAAATTATATTTTTTCGTATTTTTACTCTTCTTTCTCTACATTTTTATGGAGCTTTCAAACAAGTTATGACTTTTGGGATTCTATCACTTGAAAAAGCATCTCATTTTCCATCCGAATCAACTAAAGTGAAAATTGATTTTTTGACACCTAAGCCCCCTTTCCGTAGACCAGGTCACATATACGTTTATTGCACAACTAGATGGGTGATAGGGTTGTGAATAGTACGTTCAGTAAGCCGATTAAGTTGAAGGAAGCGCTCGAAATACATTCTTTACAGATCGTGAATTTTCGTAATGAAGTTAAAAGATTTCTAAACATTATTCAGGCGTAAGTCAGTCAATGATGAAATGCCAAACAATACTGAACAAAAATAACATATCAGCTTGACACGGCTCATGCGTGATCTGTCAAAGAAAGACTATTAAAAAACCTACATCTACTTGGATCACCCGTTATTATATTTTGTTATACATAATATATATTATATTATACATAAATATTTCTATATCAGAAGTTTTAGTGTAGTTTCGAAAAAAAAAAATATTGTAAATAAGTTTCAAATATTACCAGTCTAACATTTTAATACTAGTCACGCCCTTAATTCAATTCCATAAAATATATGAAAAACTATATCTATTTACTTGGACCACAATCCAGAAAAAAATTTGTTTTAGTGTTTAGTCGAATTCGAATTACTTTATTAAAAATATAGATATTTATTGGTTGTTGGGACAATATTTTGTTTTGGTTTTACCTCGTTTCATACTCGCTCTCTTATGGCTTTGCTGTAAATAATAAAAACCGTGAAGTCAAAGTGATGAATCGATAAATGTCAAAGCAACCCACGGATATTTTATTTTTTTGTCTATTTTCGTAAGCCAATTTCAATAAATGAATGTCCAGAATTTCAATCCTCTTAATTTGTATAAATGCTGCCACCGAAGCCACGAAAACTAGGCAATAGCTGGTAATAGCACAAATACTACAAAGAGTGATGTGCTTGTTTTTCCAAAATTGCTTATTGAAATAAATTATCCATATTCCAAAGAATCCTGTGACCTGCAAAATAAACAATTTTGTTAAATTACAGCACGAGTGACTGAATTCTGATATATAGTACATGAAATAGTCATATTCAATTAGTAATTCAATTAAATTTAATGTAAAATATTGATGGAAAATCTCTCGTTTGATTTCACTTCGTTTCAGCAAAGAATTTCAGATGTTAATTCGAACCATTAAACCTTTCGTAGACAATTCATGTGGTACCCAAACATCGGGCTTCTTTTTGTAGCCAGCCTTTTTAACTCTCATTTTGACGGATACTTGGATAGTCATATAGAGTACCAATGGGCCAGGCTGCACCCAAAAGCAAACCTAACATCATTTTGGAGAAACTTTAATTTTTTTATTTCAAATAACATTTTAAAAACTCAAATAAAGTATTCACGGAAAGCAAGTAAAAGATGGAAAATAGAATTAATTTTCCTTTATGCACTTAAAGCATTTGTAATAACATTTTGAATGTTGTTGACATACAGCATCTGCGCACTCTTGGCAAAAGAACCTTGCTTTACGACGATGTTTGTCTTGAGCATGGCATAAGCTGCAGTTGCTTTTCTTATCTAAAGTCTCACTTTTGGTATCTGTTAGCGTATTTGGTTGTTTCTGTAAAATAAATTTTATAATGTGTTTGCCCTATATATATAACATTACTGAATACATACCTCAAATTTTTCCAAAATATCTTCAATTGCGGAACGGCAAACGGAATGCTTTATTACATGTATATTGTTACGACTCGACTCGATTTGCGGATGAGCTAATATTTCGGACAAATCATATAAAAACTTTCTACGAGCGTCTGATTTAGTGTAATTGTTATTTCCTTTGCATATAATAAAACTGCCTAATGCCATTACATCAACAATAATATAAAAAATGCAGGAGTCCATCTCTTAGTTTTTCTTTTGGTAGTGTAATGCGTTAGCATTTGGTCCATGTGTCTTTATTTTTGTTCTAATGCATTATTGCTGGTTTTCGCTTGACGCCTTCAACTTCCTTATCGTAATGTACCGTGGACAGTAATATTACCGCCTTGTTTTTCTTAGGAACATATGAACAAATGGCTACGTTGTCTTGATAAAATCCAAACTCAGATGAAAGAACTGCCCTATTCTTGTTTTTCTTCATTTCAGGTGGGATACATGCTTTATTGCTTCGAAGGGTTCCAACGAAGGACAGCCCCAAGCTTATTAGCCGCTTACATAAATTTAAAGTGGAAAAAAAGTTGTCAGCTACTATTGTGCGCCCAGAATTTGAATATTTTGAAACCAAACGTATAAGCTCATTTTCCCCTTGGTTCTTTGCTCTCCCTTCGTTGGGTTCTTTTCCGGTATAGATATTTCCACTCAAAAGATAATGAGTTTTTGCGTCACAAGCCCATCATATATGTACTGAGTAAATTTCGGAAAAAGTTGTTCGTCAACAGTTATATCGGTATATGGACGAAAATCCTTCTGGAGATTTGCATTTAGAAAGTTCCAAATATATCGTATAGGTGCCGCTTTATCTGTTTCTAAGCGGAAAGGTCTAGTGCGGCCGTCATCAAATCGTATATAACGGGATATGGTCAAAAGCCGATAGTAAGACATCGTTGCTCTGAAAATTGACAATTGGTTTGTTTTCCATAAAACTGACGCAGCCTGACTATTGTTATTGCAGACTCCTGCTGCTATAAGAATGCCTAGAAAACCTCTGAGCTCCGTTTCTGTAAAGTCTTGCCATTCTTTCAATTTGTTGAGATTCTTAAAGTTCCATTCATTGGAACGGCACTTTTATTCAATAAATACACACCTTCACAGAATACCACCGATTATTCTTTACTTGAATGTGAATGTGAAATATATCATCTAGGATATCATGAAGTATTGAAACATAAACGTGTGTACTAGTATATGAAATAGTGATTTAAAGTTCAAAAAAGTCTGGCTGGACCCATCAGTACAAATGAGGGTTAAATGGTTCAAAACTGTTTGATGATGAACGTTAAGTTCCTTAGCATTGTCATAGCTGCTTATGTGATGGTCCTGATCAATCTTTTCCATAATTCCATGGACTTTTTCAAAAAGATATCGATGAGAGCGAGGTGCATCTTTCATATCGAAACTTCCTGAATGGAAGCGAGCGAATTTTGTTGTGCTACACGAACTGATACAGCATCGTCTCCAATATCATTGGTGGCTTGCAACAAATTCTTCCCTTTTTTTATAAAAAAATTTCAAAATATATCTAATTTCTTTATTATTTCCACTCATTTTAGAATAGCTGTGACTCTTTTTCAAACTTCCCCGAATTTAATTTTTTTCTATTAAATCAAGCATAAAATCTCACCTTTCCAACGCTATATCGTATAAGACTACGTAATTAGTGGCACTGGAGATAT